GAAGAAGGGTCCAGACCTGAAACGTCAGCTTTCCTGCTCCTCTGATGCTGCCTGGCCTGCTGTGTTCATCCAGCTCTACACCTTGTTATCTTAGATTCTCCAGCATCTGCAGTTCCTACTATCTCTAAAAGTAGGATTAGGCTGGATAGGTCTTTATTGCCTGGCAGGATGAGGATAATCATTTTAATAGGAAATTTTTGATTTATTTTCCCGGCGAACTGGGAAAAGGTCGCTCTTTGTAAAAATGACTCATCTTCAATCAAGTGGAAAGGATTCAACACAACGGCGGGGCGATTCCGCATTAATTGAAAGTCACTGATGATGTCGCGAAGAAAACATATCTCAAGCGGGGTGAAATTAGTGAAATTGGCATCCTCTGAAAGACTACAATGCAGAAGTTCTTTCGCCGAGAAGATCCAATTCCGCTATCCTGACGATGTCATCTGCCAAGCCGCAGTCGGACGTTGGGAGACAACTGAACGCCGATGACGCCGTTGCTGATCGATATCAAACGTAACGGGGCGGGGAAAAGACCAACCGTCACTCCGAGCGTGAGGCTGACATATGCCATCATGCGCATCCCCGATCTTGAGCGATAGGTGCGCGCGTGACCAAACCGAGCATGAGCCGGCTGAGTCCGTGTGTGATGGCATGAGCCTGCTGGCCAATTACAAACAGTAAGGGACAACGACTTCCTGACTCGGCCGGTAGCGCGCCTGCTTACAGCCCCGGCAAACTTCTGACAGCAGTGGGGGTGGTTGCTCATTTCTTACAGATTTCGCTCAGCTGTTTGCGAGGGTAAGGTGTATGTGACCCATTACAAATGGAGGCATTCTGTTTGAAAAGAGTTTCTGTTTTATTTCACGTTAATATGGCCCATCTGAATAATTTTGTATGTTATGGAGCCCGTTGAGCTGAAGTCATAAAGCTCTCTCTCTCTCTGTGTGTGTGTGTGTCTCAACATTGACGAATGGATGGTGGTTTGTAGTTCTTAGACGGATGTTTACTCTTGGTGATATGCTGGAGCCTTGAGTTAATTGTAATTAACTTCTCAAAGCTAAAATATTACCTGTTGTGACATAAGAAAGTGATTGCCTGGTGTCGATTGGTTGAGTCTAGGCGGCGATTGGATTGCACAGAATTGATACCTTTTCCCGGAGCTTAGGCCTCTCCCGGTCTCTCATTTAGCTGAATCTGAAGAACCAGGCTTGTATGTAGAATGCATTTTGTTTGTCAGGCAAGTACGTTAGCTTCTCTCAGAATGCTTGAAACCAGTGTGTATGCTGCTCGTAGTGCATGTTTTAAAATAAAACCCTGAGCGTTCGTGCACTTCAAAATCCGAGAAGGCTAAGTGATGGGCTCAACTGGAATATTGTTTGGCTACACAAATTACTGAATGTTAGATGGAACTTTATTCGACGTTTTGAAAATAATTTAATGTGCAAATAAAACGTAATTGTTTTGAGTGCCTGAATCCTTTGACAAAATATCGAGTCAATCTGGGGAAAAAAAAATGAAAAGTTGATCAATGTTTGGAGGAGGATGCTATTTCAAAATATCTAAGTTTACACATTTAGCAAACATTTTAGAAACCTGAGCTAAAGTTCAGGGTGTATTTGTGAAAATGGAGTAAAATTTGACCTGAGAAGTTGGACAGACTTTTCTGAGCTCTAGATTTGTTTCAAGAGTTGATTGATTTATTGTCACATGTACTGAAATACAGTGAAAAGCTTTTGTTTATGAGCAGTATGAACAGATCACTGTTAGCTAGGATGTTCATATGAAAACGACTGAGGTAGATGTACAGGTTCGATCGCACAGGGCGTGTGCTGGGTGAGATCGCGTTAGCAAAATCAATCCTTATACGAGGCTGGAGAGTCCATTTGTTAGTCTAATAATAGCCAGGAAGAAGCTGTTCCTGAACCTGCTTGTACGTGTGTTCAGGCATCTGTATCTTCTGCCTGACGGAAGAAGTTGTAGGAGATTATTACCAGGGTGTGGTGGGTCATTGATGATATTGGCAGCCTTTCCACGGCTGCAAGCCATGTAAGTGGAATCCATGGATGGAAGTTTGGCCTCCATGATGGTCTGCGCACACCAACTCCTGTAGTTTCTTATGGTCCTGGGCAGAGCAGATGCTCTACTGGGCAGTTTTGCAGCTGGACAGTATGCTTTCAATGGTGCATCTGTAGAAGTTGGTGAGGGACCTTGTGGACCAAATTTCCTGAGCTGCTTCAGGAAGAAGAGACATCATTGTGTCTTCTTGACTGTTGCGTCTATGTGGGCAGTACAGTACAGGTTGTTGGTTATTGTCACTCGGAGGAACTTGGCGCTCTCCACCCTCTCAACTTCCGTTCCATTATGTAGATGGGGACATGTTCTCCTTTCCTTTCTAAAGTCAAGTTCTTTAGTTTTTCTGACGTTGAGAGAGAGAGAGTTTGTTTTCTTTGCACAAGGTCACCAAGCCCTCTATTTCCCTTCTGTATTTTTGACTTACTTAGATGCCTATTCCACTATGGTGGTGTCATCAGCGAACTTGTAGATGGCGTTCATTTGTAATTTGGCAACACAGTCGTGGGTGTACAGTACAGGGCTGAGGACGTATTCTTGGGGGAACTCCAGTGTTGAGTGTTATTGTGCAGGGGATTCAGTCATCTATCTTCATTGTGGTCTATGGGTCAGAAAGCTGAGGATCCAATTACAGAGGGTGGAGCTGAGACCAAGGTCATGGAGTTTTGAGATCAGTCTGGAGGGGATAATGGTGTTGAAGGCGGAGCTGTAGTCAATGAGCAGGAGTCTGTAGGTGTTTTTGTCATCCAGTGTTCTAGGGATGAGTGCAGGGCTAAGGGCATCCACTGTGGACCTCTTATGTTGGTAGGCAGATGTTACATTGAGATGTTAATTTTGCTTTTACTGTGGTCAATGAGTTTTTGTTATAGTAGAGGTAATTGAATTTTAATATCTTAATTTTACTTGATTCTTCATTATATACATTAAACATTGCAAATACTGGTGTCTGAAATAAAAATGAATTGCTGGAGAACGTCAGGTCTAGCAACATCTTTGGAGAGAGAGGAGTTAGTGTTTTGAATCTGATCTGATGCGTTGAGAATCATCTTCCTGGAAGTGTTGTGTTGGACTCAAGTTGACTCTTTCTCCTTCCACACATGCTGCCAAGGATGCTAAGTTTCTCCAAGACTGTGTCTTAATTCTGCTTGTTGCTTGCAGTTTAAAAGTTTTTTTTAAAATCTGTGGCATGTTTGAATGTTTAATTATTTTCTGGTACCTAACTTGTTCTTTGGATGCTGTCTACAGCTGAAGGACAGAGTGCAATCTAACCTCTGCTTCAGTGGTGTTGAAGGGGTCAGGAGAGATTTAAGTCTTTATCTTCTTGCTGGACTAGTTCAGACTGAGAGAAGTCAAAGACAAGTGTCAAGTGAATTTGATTATTACATTTAAGCTTTCTTTATATTATTCCCCACTATCAACACCCTGGTGGTTACCATTGACTAAGAACTGAACTGAACTTCACTAGCCATGTAAAGAAATGATTTGAATGTGAACATAGGAGGTAAGGTTAGTAAGTTTGCAGATGACACCAAAATTGGAGGTGTAGGTTTAAGGTGACGAGAGGAAAGATTTAAAAGGGACCTAAGGGGCAACATTTTCATGCAGAGGGTGGTGCGTGTATGCAATGAGCTGCTAGAGGAAGTGGAGGCTGGTACGTTTACGATATTTAAAAGGCATCTGGATGGGGATATGAATGGGAAGGGTTTAGTGGAATATAGGCCAAATTCTGGCAAATGGGACTATATTGATTTAGGATAGCTGGTCGGCATGGGCGAGTTGGAACGAAGGGTCTGTTTCCGTGCTGTAAATCTTTGACTCTAAATATGGAGGCTGCAACAGCAAATCAGAGGCTAGGAATGCTGCAATGAGTGACTCACCTTCTGACTTCCCAAAACCTATCCATCATCTGCAAGGCACAAGTCATGACTGTAATGGAACATTCTCCACTTGCCAGGATGATGCAGCTGCAACAACACTCGAGCCTGACACCGTTTCAGGACAAGAAGCTAGGGTGATTGTCACTGCATTCACAAACATACACTTTGTCCACTGTTGATGCTCATTAGCAGCATTGTGTATCATCTACAAGATCCATTGCAGAAATTCACCAAGACAACATCTTCCCAACCAATGACCACTCGCATCTAGATGGGGAAGGACAGCACATAAATGGGTACACCACCGCCGGCAGGTTCCCCTTCAAGCTACTCACCATCCTACTTGGAAACATGTTGCTATTTCTTCAGAGTCAAAGAGTCAAAATTCTGGAACATTCTCCCTAACACCATTGTGGGTGTACCCATGCAAAATGGATTCCAGTAGTTTCAGAAGGCAGCCTGCTGTTACCTGACTTCTTGAAGGTTTGACTTGTATAGAGAGAATGAATAGGCTGGGACTTTTTCCCTGGAGTTTTGGAGGTGGCCCTTTTATAGATGTTTATAAAATCATAATGAGCATGGATAGGGTGTGTAGCCAAGGTCTTTTTCTTTAGGGTGGAGGGACATCCAAAATTAGAGGGCATAGTTTTAAGATGAGAAGGGAAAGATTTCAAAAGCATCTGAGGGGTAACTTTTTCACACAGGATGGTGTGTGCATGGAATGAGCTGCTAGAGGAAGTGGTGAAGGCAGGCACAATTACAGCACCTAAGAGGTATTTTGATAGGTACATGATAGGAAGGGTTTAGAAGGGTATGGGCCAAATGCTGGCTAATGGGACTAGGTTAGATTGGGATGTCTGGTCAGCGTGGACCAGTTGGATCAAAGGGTCTATTTCTGTGCTGTATGACTCTGTGACCCTATAACTATGGATGCGTAATAAGTGCAAGTTCAGCCTGTGATGTCCCATCCCATGAGCAAATATCTAATCCAGTCAAGTAAATTGCATTATTTTGAACTTTACCATTGTCTTTAATTCCTGTACTTTGATAATGTCATATGCTTAGTATTTTAATCAATGATGTTTTCCTAATGTGACATTAATGTAACATTGAATTGTCATTTAATGGTCAGGTTATTCACAAGGAGAGGAGTGAAAGGTTATCAGCACAGATGGGATTCTTGACTTCGCAGAGCAGTCATGATGTTATATAACAGTGGAGAAGGCATCAGGGACTCCCAACTCCGAGTGTGAATGCTCATAATCAGCCTAGTCTTAGCTTAGTAATAGGATGTGCCATTTTCTGACTATGCAGGCCCAATGTTTTTGGTCATTGTCACATTGCTGTTTGCAGGCCTTCTTACATCACATCAGTGATGGTTATGAGGTTGGAATGGCCTGAGGAATTGATCAAGTGCTAAATAAATTGAAGCTTCTCCTTTGAGTCTAAAAGCCTACAAATAGGTTGTGCTGAGGTTGCTTAAGAAAGTATCAACAAGTTTCCAAGTACAGGACATACCTTTGGAGAAGGAATGGACTCAATCTGCTATTTCCACTGAATTTATAGTTCCATAGTTACAGAACCACTGGGCATAAAGCACAGGAGAGCTCCATCGAGTCTGTGCCAACAAATCTACATCAGTCCCACTTTCCAGAACTTCGCCCTATGCCTTGAATGATATGACCTTTCAAGTGTTCATCCACGTGAGGTTTCCCACCTCAACTACCTTCCCAGTTTCCCATCACACTCTAGGTGAAAAAAAGTTTCCTCAAATCCCCTTTAAATCTCCTACCCTTCACCTTAAAATTATGTCCCCTTCAACTGAGGGGAAGCAGCTGCTTCCTGTCCATT